GTTGGAAAAGATCAATCTTGGCCACAGTTCAAAGATTGGATGGGCAGATAGTAGCTGAGACCTGAGGGGGTCACAGCAATGGACTGGGTGCCACAGGGGATGATACAAAGGACAGATTCCAGGTGCACTTAGGAGGAAGGCTCAGGAGGACACGGTGCGCGTTTTCCGTTGCTATCTAAATATGTCATTATCTACTTGGTTTCCAAGTTTTAAAATCAGTTGGGAATGTTTGTCCACATCATTAACTGTTCTTGTAAAGCATGATTTTTAAAATGGTGCACCATGTGAATGCAACAGATTTTATTTAATCCCCTGTCACTGAACAGCTAGATTGCTTCCACCCCACCCCAAATATCAATAGTGTTGTGATGGACATTCTGTACTGAATCTCTACATATGTCTCTCCTTACAGATCAATAGCCAAGAATGGGATTGTAGAGTTAAAGACTAGGAATATTTTTAAAGGCTTTTGATAAAAAATTGCTAAGTTGCTCTCCAGAAAGGATGTTCTGATTGACATTTTCAGCAGAAGTGGATGGGAGAGTGCCACTTTCCAACATTCTTGCCAGCACTGGGTATTATTGTTTTTCCTAATTATTGACAATTTTATGGGGAAGACAAGAGGAAGTGCACTGTCCAGTTGATTTCCTGGACTGTGGACATAGAATCCTGGAGTCTTTGAGCTGGAAGAGACTTGGGGTCATTGTGGTCCAATGTCCTTGTTTTACAAATGGGCAAATAGAGGACCAAGAGGTGTATCATCTCCCCTGTGGTCACAAACAAGCAGTGGCAGGAATCTAGGACCCTTGACCGTCAGGGTACCTCCCACTGTGCCATGGCTGGGGTCCAGAAGGACCCATCTTGTCCTAAATATCTCTAGAGCTTGGTAAAGAAAACTCTGTGTCTGTTAAAAGGGGTACCTCCTTAGTGCCGCCAGCAGATGAAGCAGTCTGCACCTCCTGTGTGAGGTCTGTTTCCTGGGGCAGAGAACATTCTAAATGAGCATGCAGTTCGCAGGTCGCTTGGAATTGGGGTCAGATCGTGGCTGAGGGCAGGACTGAAGAGGACTGAGGGCTTCAAGGTCGACTCTGCCACTTTCTGGCTGTGTGATGTGGAAGTCTCTTACTGCTCTGAGCTCCAGGTGCCTCAGGTGTGAGACGGGTGGATGGCAGTGCCTTCCCACGGGAGCAGGGCCTGGCACATAGCAGGAGCTCACTAAACACTGTGCTGGCTCCCCCAGGGGACAGGAGTCCTTGGCCACCTGCTGGGCAGTCACAGGGCCAGCTGTCCCAGGCCCTCTGCTCAACCGGGGTGAGTGTTCATGAATGGCCTCTGCATCTGGACCATCTGTGTTGACAGCTTGATCCTTGTGCCGCGGCCCCTGGCTTGAGGAGCTGAGGTGGGGTGTGGTGGAGAGCAGGCTCCCCAGTGCTGGGCTTAGGACCCTTGAGCACACGGGCTGGGACGGGGCAGCCTGCCTGGGCTTCGGTCCCAGAGCCACTGTGGCCAGGACAGTGACTTTGGAGTCACTCATCCCTTCTGGGACTCGGTGTTTTTTTTCTGTACGACTTTCTGATTGCCAGATGGTGAGACTCCATGGGGAAGCTACCGCAGGGCCCTGGTGCCTGATGACCTGGGCCATCTCAGCCTGAGGCACGATTCGTGGCTTCAGAGGCCTCAGGGTTCTCACCTGTAAGTGGGGGCCCAGAGTGTCCTTCCAGCATAAGGTGGTGAGAGTAGACGTTGGACTTGGTGGCCCCCTTGGGCTGGCCCCTGGCTCATCACAGTGATGGAGACTCCGTAAGTGACACGTGATCAGAGGCCGTGCTGCCGTGGGGTTGGTGCTCAGCGTGGCCTGTGTGACCGGGCCCCGTGTCCTGTTCATGGGCTTTTGTCCTTGACTGTCCCCCGAAGCCCAGTGTGGTCCCTGATTTATAGATGAGCACAGGGAGGCTCAGGGGGGACAGGAATGGCCCGTGGCCACTCTGGTGAGTGGCGTGGCCAGGTTTGAGCCCTGCCTGGACCCCTGGGCCCTGGAGCAGGACCGTGTTCCACTGGGAGGTGCCAAGAAGCCTCGAGGAGGTGTGCGGGTGCGTGTGAGCCCGGGTGGGTGCCCATGTGGGTGTCGCAGGCAAGGTGGGCGCTGTGGGTCACGTGTGCAAGCTCTGACTCACGTGTGCACGCGCCGAGTGTGAGTGATGGGGTCGTGGCCTGTGTCAGGAGTGGGTGAGCAGCACGTCCATGCACGCGTGTGCCAGTGTGTGGAGCCGCACCACTTGGGTTGTAAGTGCAGGTTGCCGGGGGCGAGGCGACACGGCTGCTCCTGCCCTGGCCACTGTGGCGCTGGGAGCCCAGCTGCCCGCGGGCGTGGCCATCGTGGGAGGACCTACGGTAGTTTACCCAGGTGTACTTGTGCTGAGAGTGCCGAGGCGGGTGTCTCCCCGGGGCTGGGCGTGGGGACTCCTGTGCCACTGTCTGGGGGCCAGGAGGAAACCCGGGATGGCTCAGGCTGTGGCAAGGCCTTCCCGCGTCAGTAGCCATCTGGGGCTCAGGCTTAGACCTTGGCAGTGCCCACCTCCTGTGGCCTCTGTGGGCTTCCTGCTGAAGGCAGTGAGTGTCCCGTCGCTGGAGGCATCCAAGGGTCAGATGCTGGTGAGGGGCCTTGTGTTCCCAGGATGGGTGTGAGGTTGGACAGTGGACACCTTTTCTGTGGTGCTGGGGATGGAACCCAGGGTGCTCTACTGCCGAGCCACATCCCAGCCTTTTTGATGTTTTGAGACGGAGACTCACTCAGTTGCTCAGGCTGGCCTGGAGCTTGGGGTCCCCCTGCTCTTCCTCCTGTATAGCTGGGGCCGCAGGTGTGCGCCACTGGACCTGTCCGTGTGGGTAGTGAGCCCAGGGCCCTGCTGGTGCGAGATGTCCTGTCTCCGTGGGGACGCTGGGGGTGGCTTCTTGGGCCCCTCTGGGAGGGAGCAGAGCTGAGGCTGGTGGAAGCCATCTAGGGGGCTTGGGGAGCTCCAGGCAGCACTGTCGAGAGCAGGCTGGGGACACTTGTTCTCTGTCCCCTGCTCTCCCTGCCCCCCTCCTCCGCCCTCTCAGCTCAGGACTCACAGGGCCTCCCCGTCTGAGCTCAGGAGCAGTGACCCCCTCCCCATGGTGTAGGTTCCGTCCTGCTCCTCGCAGGACACCTGCAGGCCTGGGCTGGGGTGGGATGTGGCCTGAGAGGGCTGCCACTGGCCCTGCCCAACTTGGCGCAGCCTCGGTGCTTCAAGAAGTGTCTGTCGGACACAGGAAGAGACCGAGTCTTCACAGGCACCGTGTGGACTCAGACGACCAGGCCCCTGGAGGGCTGGGCCCTGTTGCGGCTTTTGGGGGGCTGTGCAGGCCCAGCCTAGAGCTGTCCATGGGGCAGGTCTGTGCACATCGGCTCCATGTGAAGAGCTTCCCTGTGGGTCACCTGGGTTTGCCACCTTCTCCCTGCCTGTGGGGGACTCCCCAGTGCTGACCAGTCCCCCCAGGGGGGTAGTCAGGGAGCTGTGCCTTCAGCTGCCCCACTCAGGACCTTGGGCTCTCCAGCTGTCCCTCTGTGGGAGGGAGGGCACACTTCTCAGCGCCCCCGGGTGCTCCCTGTCGGGGACCCAGTGGGCTGTCCAGGGCAGGCGCAGGGTAGCTGCTGGGTCAGGCCCTTCTGAGCACCAGGAGGCTGGTGGGGCGTCCAGGCCCTGCGTTCTGGGCTTGCCGGAGGGGGAGGGGACCGCGGGAGGAATGTGGCTTTGAGGAATGTTTAACCCAAAGCAGAAATAGCTCACTGCTTTTTTTTTCCCGGGCGCCACCGCTCAGGGTGCCATTCTCTCCCTGTAGCCTAGGGGCCGTGTCCACCCTGCTCCTCCACAGCTCTGGCCTTCTGGGGACAAAAAGTGGCTTAAACAAAACAAAACAAAACTGAGAAACACCCTTGGGAACCAGAAAGAGCTCTGCGTTTGGGGCAGCCAGGCTCAAGGCCCTCCATCTTGCTTCCCAGGCCCGTGACCACTTCCCGTCTGAACTCTGCTCTTTCTCTGTGCATCTGGGTGGAGGGACGTCGCCCCGACATGCTTGGCTGGCTGGCTGGCGTCAGAGCTCGGGGACCTGCGGGGCTGGGTTCAAATCCAGCCCTTCTGCTGGTGAACGCGGCCCCCTCACCAGGGCCCTCCCCGGGAAGCCTGGGCTCCGTCTGTAAAATGGGCTCGTGGGGCTGCTCCTTGCAGGACCGGGTGGACGAGCGTGAGGATGTTGGTGAAGAGACGGAGCCCCGGCCTTCGAGTCCCTCCGTCGGCCTCTCGTGGCTTCTCAGATCCAGTGGGAGACAGTGCCTCTGGCGAGCGGGTGTCCCTGCTGGCGGGTGAGCCCGGGCTGTGCTTTGGGGCAGCCGGGGGGCAGCTGAACGTCTGGGCCATCTGTGAGCCTCCTCCGGCTGGCCCTGGGACCCCCCACCCCCACACAGCTGGCACCAAAGCCCACGGGATATTTCTGTGGAATTGTCCGTGGGTCCAGCTGTCCTCCTGGGACCTGGTGGTGACAACCTGTTTAAGGCTTCCACTTAGCCAAAGCACGTGAGGATGGAGCCCGGGTCTGCGTGGTCCACTCTCTCTCCTAGGAGAGCCCCGAGTTTATTTGTCAGAATGAATCAAACCACAGACGCGTAACTGAGCAAGCTGTGGACGGACGCAGCTTCTCCCCCACCTCAGGTCCCACTTTCTGCCCTGTCCAGCCCCTCCCCCTCCCGGGCTGGCCGGGATCTTCCCCATGTCTGGGGGGTCCAGGGCTTCAGGAGGCCAGGCCGCGGGTGGCCCCCAGGCCCCCTCCACCTCCTGGGGTCCCAGCCACCAGCCAGGCCCCTCCTTCCAGCCTATCTTGCACCTGCCTCTTTGTAGGAACCAAAGATCCCTGTTCAAAGGCAGGAGAGGGGCTATTTTTGGCACCGTGGGGGGAACAGCAAACGCTTTCCTTCTGTTCAAAAATATATGGTGTGTGCTGGCGAGCGAGGCGCTCGGAGCAGAGCGCTCAAAGCCCTGCTCGCCCGGCTCCTGTCCCTCGGACGAGGCCCAGCCTCCCCTGTGGCTCTGCAGCCCACGGCCACCCGGCACCTATTGTCTCCACACTGCCTGGGATGTGGCCAGTGCCAGCCGAGTGGACATGATCTTAATCAAGGCCAGCAGCAGCCATCAGGATGGGCGAGGAGCCTGCTCAGGTGGTGCCCTGGCCCCTGTTTCCTGGTCTGGCTCAGCCGAGCCGGGGCGGATGCATGTCGGGGAAGGGCTGGGGGTCCTGGGTCCTGAGGGAGGTGAGTCTGGCCATGGGGTCCACGGGCTGCCTCGGCACCCCTCTCTCCCTGACAGAAACTGGCCGTGAGCCGCTGCCTCTGGCCCTGCCTGTGATGCTGGGGCACAGGGCAGGCGGACGGCTGGATTTCTGGACCTCCTGGCACCCACAGTGGCTGGGGACGCAGATGTGAGGCAGAATGAAAAGGCTTCACAGGATGTCATGAGCATCCGCCTGGTCTGAGGTGCATCTGGAGGACTTCCTGGAGGCAGTGGCAGTGTCTCGGCTGAGCACGAGGTGGGGGTGCCGGAACTACTGAGCTCATTCCTGTTTGCCTGGAATTTAACGGGGCGCCCTGGATCTGTGTGGGTTCGCCTTGGCAGCCCTTCCTGAGGGTGAGGAGGCCTCCGGGAGGCACTCACAGGTTGGGGGTGGTTCGTGTGGGGACAGCAGGTACCGCGTCCCCATGTCCTGAGGCATCAAGTATGGCACTCTGAGGACTGGATGGGTGGATATGGTGTGATGGCGGGGAGGCAGGGGCTGGCCCAGTCGGAGGAGAGCTGCTGACCAGAAGCAGAGTGGCTGCGCCTGGCCCCATGGGCCCTGGGCCTGGGGCCTTGTGTGGGCGGCAGTTTCCTGGTGTGCACTGCAGGGGGGCGTGGCTCCTGCTGGGAGGGGCCTGCTGAGCAGGGCAGGGGTCCGCGGAGCTGAGGGGCAGGTGCACTTGGTACTGGAAGGACCAGCAGGTGTCAAGGTCAACATGGTCAAGGTCACAGTCCTGCTTTGGTGACTCCAGCCAGGTGATGGCTGTATCCCGTCCTCTTGGGCCCCACCCTCCTGTGGAGCCAGCTCCGGGTCCTCCTGCTCCGTGACAAGCACTGAGATGAGTCACTCCTGTTGTGCCTCCTCCATGAGGGCAGGTCACAGGCACCTCCGCCCTGGGCTCGCCTGGCAGAGGCCTGAAGCTGCGCCCAGCACCCCCTGCTGGTTGGGGCTGCCTGGATCCCAGCCTCTTGGCCAGACGCCCTGGAATTCCTGCCCTAGAACCTTCCGGGTCGCTCCTGGAGCTGATTGTCTAGTGCAGCTCAGGGACAGAATCCCGGTGCCTGCAGTATCCGGAGCATCCTGGGCAGAGGGGACAGAGGGGGACGTTCCCCTCCAGACCCCTCCCCCGCTGTAGGCGTCCCTGTCTGTCCGGCTGGCTCTCTCCCTGTGTGCCCCTGTCCTGGCTCTCTCCCTGTCTGTCCGGCTGGCTCTCTCCCTGGGTGGGGGCTCTGCGCCCTTCCCCGGGGCTCTCTGCTCAGTCTGGGGACTCTCCCTGCCCTCTCCCTACTCCTGCTTGGAGGTTTCCTCACTCTCTTGTAGTGACATCAGGGACTGGGACTGCTCTGGCTTCTGCCCCAGCTGTGACGGAGACCAGCCTAGCATCTCTGGCCTGCTCCCAGGGCTGGACTGAAGGGGGAGGGTGGAGGCTGGAGGCTGGAGGGTGGAGGATGGGCAGTGGAGGCTGGGCGATGGGGGAGGCAGTGCCACAGGTGGGGTGGGCAGGAGGGCAGCAGCCTGGTCATGGCTTCCTATGGTGCCCACCCATCCTGGGTGCCCACATTATTGGCCTGGGTCCTCCTGCCTTTCCGTTGGTGGCCATGACACCTTTATTAATGATAGCAGCAGTTGTTAACGTTTGGGGACACTTGCTGTGTTCTGCCTGGATGGCACCATGTCTCTGGATCAGCAAGATGTGGTGTCCCACGGTGCCTTGAGCCTCACTGTGTTCTGTGTGGTCTGAGTTGGGGACCCTGCGGTCCCTCTTAAAGATCTCTCCCTTCCTCTCTGGGGCGGCTCTCACACCCCTTCCCAGGGAGCCCACCCTGACCCTCTGGCTAGGCTCCAGGAATCTAGAGGAAAGGCCCCCCCACTGCCGTCCCCAGGTCTCCAGGGCCTTAAGGAGGCAGATGGGTCCCCCACTTCAGGACCACGCCCAGGACTCTCTTGGAAGATTCTGAGTGGTGATCCGGAGGCTCTACCCAGGCAGACCTGGGGCTCCGTCTTGTTTGAGGAGAGGAAGGAAGAGGGCCGCAGGTGGGGCGGTGGGCAGGTCATTGACTAGCAGGGGTCACTTTGGGTTTTGGAAAATAAAAGTAGCCACGTCTGCTTTTCAACTTACCCAGCCAACTCGGCCTGAGCGTTCTACAGGAGCACACGCTGAGCACCTACTGCATGCCAGTCGCTGCTCTGAAGAGCTGCCCCTCTGGGTGCCCAAATCCCGCCCCTGGGAGCTGCGCTACGACAGAGACACATAAAGGAACTTTGTGTTTAGACTTGGGTCCCCTCCCCGGGACATCTTATCATTCATATGCAAATATTCTAACATTAAAAAAAATCAGAAGCCCAAACCCTTCTGATCTGAGGTGAGGCTCGGCCTGCGCAGGACTCAGGCGGGAGGGGGAGGACTCAACTCCCAGGACGTGTTTGGGGGTGTCTTATACCCCCACGTCTCTAGCCACACGGACCTGGCTCTGGTCCCAGGGCCAATGCAGATGCAGTTTGGCCCATGGACAGGTGGCTTTCCATCTGGGACCCTCAGTTTCCTTATCTGGCCAGTGGAGGTAATCAGGGTCCTGGCCGCACATCAGGTGGACATTGAGTGAGATCTGGGTCCAGGCTGGGCATGCAGTGAGCACCGCAGGGCAACCTCTTGTCATTATTCCTGGAGACCACAAGGCAAAGCACCTCTTCCTGCAATTTTACATGAAAAAAATTGGGGGGGGGGATTTTTTAAACTTACATAGAATTTAAAATCAATATGTATCATAACTTCATTCTTAGAGTAAAACACCCACAAATGATGGGGCAGATGCAAAATCTGCAGAAATAATTGAGCCAGAACACAAGATTTGAACTAAACCTTGCTTCCCATGGTTGCTTGAACTGGGGGTGCCACCAGCCATCTCCCCTTGAGGGCTCTGTGAGGGACATCTTTAGGACTCCCTGCACCACAAGGTCCTCTGCAGGGACAAAGCACATTCACCGACTTGTGAGCTCTTTGGAATGGAGACTTTGATCTTCATCCCTTTGTCAGATGAGAACATTGGGGTTCAGTCCCCAGGATTCAAACAAGCATTCTCTCCCCCTCCCCCCCTCCTCGGTGCTGAGGTTTGAAGCCAGGGCCTCACACATCGGGCGGGTGCTCTACATTGAGCCACGTCCCCTTAAGCCTTGTTTTCGAGGCATCTAAGCAGGGAGCAGGCCGAGGTGCGGCCTGGCTGTCCGGGAAGGGGTGCTTGGATGGGCAGGTGCTGGGTGCTTCCTGCCGGACTGTGCACTCAGGGTGCTCAGCCAGTGCTTGCCAGGGTCTGGGGGGCTTGGCGTGTCCCTCCTTGGGCACAGTCAGCTCTGGGTCCGATGGAGCTGGCCCCATTTCTCTCCACCACTGCTGTTCATGTCGTCTGGGTTGAGCCAAAAGTCCCCTTGGGATCCAGGTGTCTCCGAGTAGCCTCTCACACCTGAGCTCTCTGAAGGACCCGCCTCCTTTCTCTGGGGTTAGCAGGAAGTGACCTATGGTGGCATGTGCTAGCCCTCGGTGGCGTCTCCCACGTGGAAGGCAGTGAGCCCCTGGCATCTTACGCTAATGCCCTGCCCAGCCCCGTGCGGCTGCAGCCACCTCTCCGTGCCCGGCACTGGCCGTGTGCTGGTCGCTCTTGCTACCTGCGTCCTGTGGCCCTTACTGCAGGAGAGGAGAGCATGGCTCAGAGGGCCAGAGCACCGTCCTGCAGCCACCAGGTGGACAAGGCCCTTGGTGAGGGAGGGTGCATCCTCTGGGGACCTCAGGCATCCCTCAGCTCAGGGATGGAGAACAGGTCCCAAGAGCCAGGGAGAAAAGCTGGCCCAGCCGTGGCCAGGGACCACCCCGACTCACCAGGTCTTATGGTCCAGAGGACCTCTGTCCCCCAGACACTCTAATGAGTGTCCCCAGGAGGGCTCAGCCATGTCCTGCAGATCCCGGCTGCAGCTCCCAGCATGGAGGCCGGGTGCTAGGAGGGAGGGGAGGAGGCAGTGCTGGGGGTGGGCAGGAGCAGGGCCAGGGCTGATCGGAGCCGGCCACCTGGTTACCACAGGGGCGCAGCAGCCCCCCCCAGACTCCTGAACTTGCGAGGCGCCGACGGGATCCTGCAGCGGAGGCCAGTGCAGTGGCTCCTGGGTGTGGGCAGCAGGTGGCGTCCCTGGGTTCCCAGCAGGCGGGCAAGCAGCACCAAGGCTGGGTGTGAGGCGCCGTAGGCCGCCTGTCCTTCCTGTTGACTGCTGTGTGCCCAGTGCTGGGCGCCCAGCTGGCGCAGCGACCGCGGGTGGAAACAGCTCACGCCAAGGAGGCTGGGCCGCTGCCACCCTGCAGGGAGCGGGGAGGCCGGAGTGAGGCTGAGGGGAGCGCTCCTCCTGCGTCAGGGCCCGGGCCTGTGGCTTGCCCAGGGCACCCGGGGCTCTCCACTGGGTATCTGTGGGGAGCAGGGGGAGGCTGGGTGGGGTGTCGTCCTGGCAGAGCATCCAGCAACACCCGACCTCAGGACTGTGCTGCCTGCTGCCTGCCCGGCACCCCCGCCCGTGTCCCCGCGTGTGTCACCTGGGAGAGCACTCCCGAGGGCTCCACGTGGAGCTGAGGCTGCCCGTGCCTGGGCCTCCTGGTGGCCCACCTTCCTCTCTTCCTGCCACCCTCTGCTGTTCCCAGGACACGGGGCTGTCAGGGCTTTGTCCCCACTGGTGGGAAGGAGCCTGGCCCGTTTCCGTCCTGCACAGGTCACCTTGTGGAGGGGACCAGATCTCTGCTGCGCCTTCCTGGGGCGGGAAGGGTCAGATGGAGGGGACGGGGGATGGAGGTGGGGGGCTGGGCAGGGGCAGGGGCAGGCTGGGTGGGAGGGCTGGGAGGGGAGCAGGCCA